ACATCCTTCATCTTCACTCTTTTTATTTGAAAACTGATTACCATGGAACTTTCTTTTGCGTGGTTTCGATTGTTTTGGTTCGGCGTGTGTGCCTTTCGGATAGGACATTTCGAATTTGCACTGTCGTTTTGTACAGGCCGAACTTCGGAGCTAAACTGAAAACCGGTTCTGCTCGATGCCAGCGCCAACGGACCCAACGGTTTCGACTAAACGTAACAATAGAAATAAAAGCCATCTACCAGGGGTGCGTTCCAAAACCTACAGTAAAACTATAATTACATCTCTATACGTTTTGGATCGCAGCCCTGAAAGGTAAAATCCCCGCTCCGGGTGAGTATACCTGCTGCGTGCTATTAGAGCCTCGACGCTGCTCAAGAGATTTGTTGCGCTCGGAGGCCATAACTTCCGAACGGCTGCGAATTTCGATTTAAAACGTTGGGAACATATTCTTACAATGTTAAATAAACATTTTATGCAAAAAAAAAAATTCGATTTTTTGAAAGTTCTAATTGGATTTCCCCCCTTAAGCCATAAAATTTAAGCTTTAAACTTTAAGCCGTAAGAAATTGACCATTCACAGTCAATTATTTTTCTTATAATTGACTGTGATTGGTTAACTTCTTACGGCTTAGGACTTAAAGCTTAAATTTTATGGCTTAAGTTCTCATTGTAGACCACGCTTAAGGGGCGCCACACACGAATTGACATAACAGTAACGTACCGTAAGAATTGATCAATCACTTTGAGTATCGTCGAACCGTAAGGTCGCCATTTTTGTGAATACTCGATTGTAATTGATCCATTTTTACGGTACGTCTTACGTTACTATTATGTCAATTCGTATGCGGCGCCCCTAAAGCCCATTCTACATTAGTCGCAATCGCAAAATCGCAAAGAAATTGACCATCATAATTGATTATTCTTCGATCGCAAGAAGAACAATCGACTATGAGTTAATTTCTTTGCGACCTTGCGATTTGCGACTAATGTAGAATGAGCTTTATGTCGTTACGCAAGAATGTGTGCTTCCCGCTTAAATATCTTATATTTTGTCTTTATATATGTATAATTTATGTACTGTCTCTCTTACTATTCGTTTTATAAGCCGATTTTAACTTTTTTTTTTACAAAAGTAACGGAAAGTAACGATTTTTTTATTGTTACTTTTCAAATAATGGTAACACGTTACTTTTTAGAATCAGTAACGAGTAACGGTAACGAGTTACTTTTTACCGCAAGTAACAGTAACGGTAACGCGTTACTTTTAAAAAGTAACGTTTCCAACCCTGGTGTAAATATTAGGTCTTTATTATATTCTTATCTAATATAAAGAAGTATATATGCTTCCGGCTTTCACGATTCCTCCGTTACAGTTATAACGTTGAATATGTCATATACTGCCATTTCCATTCCTGTCATAATTGATTATAGCGCAAACTCGTGAGTAGTAGTAGCTTGCAATTAAGATGCGTGATACGATGTTTGATACGCTTTTATCGGAAGAAATGTGTTCAAACTATATCGGTAATGAATGTACAGATAAAGGTACACTATAATTTGGATTTTATTCTCTATACTCGCAGCCGGATCCGATGGCACCACCAGAAAAAACCATCAATCTTTTTTATGCTCTCGATAAACACTTAAAGGATGAAGATTATTCTGTGTCGCGCATCAGGGATGCCGAGAGTGACGTTGCATCATTCCTGAAAAGAAGAGCTGATGAGAATCTAAATTTACAGCTCACAGTATCATTGTACAATAGAGATCGGGCGGTCGACATCGGTGCAGAAGAATTAGGAACGGTATTCATTATTTTATAGATAACCAAACTTGCAGAAAATTTTACGCTTTTATGTAAGTTTTATCGTAAGCTAGCAGAAATATAAAAAATCTAACAGAATATATGGTAATAAATTGACGATAGAGACTAAGCAGAATATTTCTTTCGGTAATCATTTAAATGCATTTAAATGAAAAATACTGTAGACATTCTTTGATATCTGCCACCAATCTACTGTTAAATAATAACAGCAGGTTTTGTCAATAGAATATTTATCAATCAATTTGATAATCGACCAGTTCGATGATAATATGATAAATTTCGTGTCGTTTCGCAGGAGGAACTGCGAAACTATTTAAGTCAAAAAGATTTGGCGCGACAGTTGAATCCATTGGGACCATATTTGGCACGAATCGGCAACCCGTCGCGTATTAGCAAGGCAGGAGCGTATCTGTTACTCGATGAATGTTTGAACGACTTCAAACGGTCGTCCGTTGAGAAAGCGAATCGTATTTTATTCGCCATTCAAGAGCACGCTGCTGAACTGGAGAAGCTGCAGACCTCGTTGACGCAGGTGAGAGAAGCAACTTCGCTTGACGTAATAATTAGGGATGTGCCGGATATCTAGCCTAATCATATACAATTATATATGATTATATATGGATTAGATCTGAATTATATCTGATTATATCTGGTCAAATCTTGACAAAATCCATATCTGGCTTTTATCTGAACTTTTTTTTCCCAGAAAGTTCTCTAAGAACAGACTAATTATCTTTTATTAACTCTGCAATATACAATCTTTCTGAAGATTTATTTTCAACAATGCTTAGCAGTGCCGCCATAGTAACCCGCTCTTTCAGACCAGCACAATATGCGACACGCGATATCCAATGAGCACATTTTTGTGTACTGTACTCCAATAAGTACAGTTTTACCGAAATACCAATATTCTAATTGGATATCGCTCGTCACATATCACGTGTTGCGTCGCATATCGCGCTGGTCTGCAAGAGCCATAAGGAAAGAAACAAAAACTCTGTTGTTAGGGGTGAGGTCTAGTTGCACACTACCTGATTGGACACGGAGTATAATGATTGGTTAGATCTAATTGGGTTTAGTAATTATTAAATTAGACAAAGCAGAGTACCGGTTGGTAGTGTGCAACTGATAAGGAATATTCGCGAAGTGTGTGTCTCCGATTTCGATAAAACTTGGCGTATTTATAGAGTGGCCAAAAATAAGAGACCCATATTTTTTATCGGCAATGGCGCAGATTTAAGGGATGAAAAAGCAAGTCCTTAAACTACCCCTCAAAGTTTCATGCCCTTTTTACTATCTCTGTAACTATTGAAGATAGAAAATACTTTTTAGACAAAAGTTATGCGGTTTTTTATAAAAAATAAAATGGTTTAAAAAGTTTTTTCTACCTCCAATAGTTACAGAAATAGCAAAAAGGACATAAAACTTTGAAGAATAGTTTCACCGCTTAAGAGAATGTCGGAGTCGATCCCGAACTTCGAAATTGCCGATAACGCAGATTTTGTAATTTAGAGACTGCCGTCAGATAGCAGTGGATGTCTCGTTACAGCACCTCAGCTGTACGACGCGATTTCAAGCTCAGACATGCGAGTCAGCGTTGTCACATCTAAGATGCAAGCAGCATTGCCATATCTAAGATGCAGTGCGTGCGGCGCAGCGCACTGTATTTATGCTGTCTGTTTCTTACAAAGAGATACTACAATTTGTTAAATCGAATTCCGAACAAGTCATAGCACGTACGATAGCTGCAATGTTGAGCATCAACATTCTAACGAGATTTGTGCAAGTGGACCTTTGTTTGTGAGAAATAATAGTATAAAGTTTGGGTCGCGGAGCTGTAGTATACATAGGACTAAAGTTGCGGCTCTCTTTCATTGAGGCGGTGTGGCTGAGCAAACTAACAAGGAGATGCCACAACCTGCTAAATCGATTTCTGAACGAGACAAAGCACGTTCGCTAGCTGCGATGTTAAGTATCAATATCTTAATTGGGGTTTGTGCCAATGGACCTTTGTTTGTGAGAAATTACAGTATAAAGTTTGGGTTATGGGACTGTACCACAGATATGACTAAAGATGCAACTGTCTTTCAGCGAGGCGGCATGGCTGAGCAGACTGAGGCTTCCACGTCGAACATTTTTTGAGTCGGCAGCGAGCGTTCGAATCCCGGCGACGAAGTTATCCTTGTGCGGTGTTTTTTTTCTTACCTTAGAGCACATAATTAATGTTTTTTGAATATGATACGTTTGTTTTACATATGTCTCGTTTTATGCTATTAATAAGGGTTAATTAGAGAAGTGTCAGGCTTGTTTAACGCAAACACGAATATATTAATTTTTTAATATGTATTAAATATATATTTCATTGTAAGTAATACAAAATATGTGTCTATATTCGTGTTTGCGTTAAACAAGCTTGACACTTACCTAATTACCCCTGATTAATAGCATAAAAACGAGACATATGTAAAACAAATGTATTATATTTGAAAAACATTAATTACATGTCCTAAGATAAGAAAAAAAAAACACCACACAAGGAAACTCGTCGCCGGGATTCGAACGCTCCCTGCCGGCTCAAAAATGTTCGACGTGGGAGCCTCAGTCTGCTCAGCCATGCCGCTTCACTGAAAGACACTTGCATCTTTAGCTATATCTATGATACAGTCCCGCAACCCAAATTTTATACTGTAATTTCTCACAAACAAGGGCTCATTGGCACAAACCCCAATTAGGATGTTAATGCTTAACATCGTAGCTAGTGAACGTGCTATAATTCGTTCAGAAATCGATTTAGCAGGTTGTGGCATCTCCTTGTAAGACTCACGCGCCGAATAATTTGAGACCGGAGGCGAGTGTTCGAATCCCGTCGACGAGCTGTCCGTGGGCGGTATTTTTTTTTTAATTTTTTTTTTATCTTAGGACATGCAATTAATGTTTTTCCAGTATAATACATTAGTTTTGAATATATCTTTCATTTTTATGCTATTAATCAGGGAAGTGTCAGGTACGTTTAATGTAAACATTACACACATTACATAATATACATATAATTTGCATTGCTTACAATGACATATATTTTTAATACATCATTTTTTTATCAAAATATTATATACAACATTGTCACATAATAAAATACTTGCTTGTAAAACTTACACGTTATAAATTTGTTAATTTGTTGCAATGTTGCGGGTGGAATGTTGCATAAAAACATACATGCAATTGGTACAAACATTTGTTTGCTTGTAATGTTTCCCTTGTTTTTATACAGCATTCCATTCACAATATTGTGATAAAATCTTTGAAATTTATAACGTGTAAGTTTTACAAGCAAGTTTTATTTATATGACAATGTTGTATACAATGTTTTGATAAAAAAAATGATATATTAAAAATATATTTCATTATAAGCACTGCAAATTGTGTGTATTATGTGTTGCGACGCTTTTTCTTAGTTGATTAAGGCGGACAGTCGCCTGTCCGCCGCGTCGGCAAATTATCGCGGTATGCGTCTCCTATATATAAAGTTGGACGCCAGGTGCGGTAAGGCCGCACCTCCTCACCAATTGCGAACACCAAAATGGTGGACGATAATTTAAGTCGCAAAACCGAAAACGATACGGGACCGGTAGCTCCACTTTTATTAAGTCGGAGACAGGATGGGTGTTGGGGAAGGCCTAATATCAGTCGAGAAAAAGAAAGCAGTGTGTGCGGTAGATGTAACTTCTTTATTTAATCGGGATGCGCTCGTCCCGATACTCGCGATAATATAATCAGTTGACCTGTTGCCGTATTGAGATTCGCTTTTGTAAGCCGATAGAAAGCCCGATTTTTCGGGACGGTATTCGCGGGTCGCGGCACGATACGGCTCCCGAAATTTCCAGGCACACGACGTCCCAGGTGTCGGTTTCTATACGCGGCCACTTCTCGTACAGGACGATATCGACAATTCTATCACAACTAATGAAACGAGTTGGCCTTACAGTTACGGTGCTCGCTCCTCGGATCCGACCCTCGCTGGTGACCTTTCGGGGTTCTCCTACGCTCTTCGCTGCTCCCGTCGGCAGTGTGGCCGCGCTCGCTCTCGCCTTGAACCGTTTTAGACCCTCTTGATATAGGAGGACCGAATCTCGTCAAAACTCGTCGGACTGCGGCAGCGGTATTTCGTAGCGATACACAAAAAACAACAGCAGCGGTAAAAGTGTGATACAGCGAATCGACACTTTGCGCGTTCCGACAACGAATCTCTCGATCTTCCTCAGTTTTGCCGTTTTCTCCGTTTCTTCCGCTCTCTCTCTCTCTCTCTCTCTCTCTCTCTCTCTCTCTCTCTCTCTCTCTCTCTGTCTCTCTCTTTCTCTCTTTCGCTCTCGCTCAATCATCGCGATATTAGCGGTAGCCTTCTTTCCAAAGAGCTTTTTCTCTTAGTTGCTTTTGTTTTTGTTGTTGCTCGTCAGCTGTTGTCTATCGCCTAGCTCAGCCGGTGTCTCTCGATATCTTCCTTTCGCGTCTCTCCTCGACGCAGCGGAGCTGAAAAGATAAACACCGTGAGCGACAACCGAGATCGGAACGAAAACATGTTTTAGCGAGATCGAGAGTTAAAGTCCGTTACCTTTTACATCTTTTTAAACGACGATCCTCGGCGAGGGCGGACGACGCCTCTGGACCTCCTCCAGTCCCACGTTGTGGGACTTCGCATCCTCCTCTCTCGGGTCGGCACAGTGAGCTCGGGGGTGACACAAATCGTGGAAGGTGGGATCAACCTACTTCCTCGAGATCTATTCTGTTCATTTACGGAATTTCGATAACGAGAGTTAACCTCGCGTTCGCAAAACGCGGATCCCGGGACGCGAAAATGTTGGACGCGCGCGAAAATCAGTAACCACCGGCATGCGCCTCTTGTGACGGGCGACTTCAGAGCCTCCACGTCACAGTGTGTAATGTTTTCGTTAAACAAGTCTAACACTTCCCTAATTATCCCTGATTAATAGCATAAAAATGAAAGATATATTCAAAACTAATGTATTATATTGGAAAAGCATTAATTGCATGTTCTAAAGTAAGAAAAAATAAAAAAAAAAACACCGCACACGGATAGCTCGTCGGCGGGATTCGAACGCTCGCCGCCGGCCCAAAAATGTTCGGCGCGTGAGTCTTACTTTGCTCAGCCACACCGCCTCGATGAAAAATAGCCGCAAATTTAGCCCTATGTATGTTACAACTCCGTGACCCAAACTTTATACTATTATTTCTCACAAGTAAAGCTCCATATGCACAAATCCCGTTAGCATGTTGATGCTCAACATTGCAGCTATCGAACGTGCTATGACTTGTTCGGAATTCGCTTTAGCAGATTGTAGTATCTCCTTGTTAGATGTGACATTTCTGATGCGAGCGTTTCTCCCCGTTTCTCCCCGTCTCTCTCCCTCTCTCTCTCTCTCTCTGTCTCTCTCTCTCTTTCTCTCTTTCGCTCTCGCTCAATCATCGCGATATTAGCGGTAGCCTTCTTTCCAAAGAGCTTTTTCTCTTAGTTGCTTT